AAACCGGGAATTGATTTCCTCATACACCGTCGTTTTTTAAGGAGTTCAAGATAAAAGGTAATTAGTGAAATTATCATATCAAATCAAAATTAGTAAAAGTTACTAGATTTTAAATGATGTTTATCTGTGATCTCATTAGACTTATGTACGTAATAAGTATTTAAGATAAATACTTATAAAATTTTTAAATTTTGCTGTGTACTCTGTTCCATACAGTATATCGAACCCAACATGCTCGACCAATCTCAACATTTCGACTATTACAATAGCAACCATCTTGCTTTTTTTTTTTTAAAAAAAAAAAAAANNNAAAAAAAAAAAAAAACTCAGACATAAATGATTCAGCTGCATCTAAATTGGCATTGCCATCAAGCTGGGATTGGAGCTTCTTCCAAAATTTGTAGTGCAATTGATGACTTTTGCGCAAACTCAACATTTTCATAGACCGAGCCTTCAGTTGATTTGTGTTGGCCGCTTGGGTACCTACCCCCAAATCCTCTGGATCTAATTTCGGTCTTTTGTCTTTCTCGTAGTAATTTGTTTGTCCACCCTCTAACTAATGGAACACATCTAGGCACAATTCTTTTATAAATAACAACTCGATCGACATAGAACATCTGCATCATAAAAAAATATTACTAACAGTTATTGTTTAATTAAAAGTGTTGCAATAATGACACTTGTTATAGTTAGTTTGTATAAACTTGATTTCCAATAGTACCACACACCTAAAATACGAGTTAAAGAAGATTTCAATTATAATATTTATCAGTGTCGTTTATTGTTTATTATGTACTAAAATACTTATAAGATAAGAGACGTACCATCAGGAAAAAAATAGGCCCGTTGAATCTTTTTTTTCTTGTTTTTTGCCCAAGTTATGTGGTGGTTAACTAAGCACTCCAACAGATAGTCACACCAATTGAGATGTCGAGCCGCACTCGTATTGTTGAAGTGAGACATTATTTGAGGTAAGATGTATCCAGTACCCGATGTCTCTATCAAGTATGAGGTAAGAAGAACCAAAAAATGTCGAATGAACCATAAGCCCCCATCCTGATTGAACAACATTTGAGCTGCAACATCGGTTGGAAGAATTTTCTTCTTGTCGTTTACGAATTTCCCACCCCACTCTTCGAGTAATGAGCACTTGTCGTGTTTTCTTTTCTTTTGTATAGCACACTTACCATTTGGAAACCCAAAGACCAATGCCACATCTTCCGATTCAATGTGCACACTATGTCCATTTTGTAGCTTTATCTCACATGTCTTGGGTTGAAAATTGTCTAGCAACCAGTTTCCCAATTTCCTCATTAATTTATTCATACTTAAATGGAATATACTTCCAACGCCCATCTCATTAATTGCCCTCTTCTGTGCGTCATTCATTTTGTTGCAGGAATTAACTAACACCTGGGGGGAAGTTCTGCTTTTGAGTTTCTCGTAAAGCTGTTGTTCCTCATCATTATCCGAATAATCACTATCCGACTTATCTCCACTCCCATCAACATTTTCAACTTCTGTGTCATTGGCTTTATCCATAATTTCTTCAGCTACATATGGTTCAACATGATGTTCGTAGTTCACCATTGAATCACCTTGCAAAGAAGTTGAATCAACATGTGTTCAATAACAATTTAATAAAGTTTATTGCTACATGTAGGGAAAAAAACTAGCACATGCGAATTCAAAACATATCAAGTATTATTCTATTCATATTATCCACATTTACAGGTAAAACAAATCCATGAAGCCAAAATATATAATCAAATAAACATGAAGTATAATAAAATGAAGAATATGTATTACATATCAATATCACGAATACAACTTAGCATGTTCATATATTCAAATTAGCAAAAATGAATGCAAAAGTAGCATATTATATATATATATATATATATATATATATATATATTAATAAAACCACTCTCACAACAATTTTTTTTGAAAGGATGCACATATACATCTCAATATTTGAATTCTATTATTATTTTTATTTTAGCCTAATTTTCCTATTTCTAAATAATAAAATTCATCTGAAAAAATAATTTGCAACAAGCAGGCATAATATTAGCACATGCAATGCATAATATTAGCACAATACAACATAAAATTTATAGGGAAGCATATTTTTTACACTAAGAATATCCACATAGGGAAGCATAAGTTCCTAGTTCTTACACTAATAATGATTCAATATTTGTATTATATTATTACATTTATTTTGGCCTAACCAAAATAATAAGTTGCAACAAAGTGACATAATTTTAGCACAATACAATGCATAAAGTTAGCAGAAAACAACATAACATTTATAAGGAATCATATTTTTACACCAAGAATGGTCACATGAGAAGCATAATTTCCTAGTTCTTACACTAAGAAAGTTTCAATATTTATATTCTATTATTATTTTTATTTTGGAATACTTTTCCTATTTCTAAAACATAAAATCCATCTAATAATAACTTGCAACATGCTGGGATAATATTAGCACAATACAATGTAATAATAGCACAAAATGATGCAACCGGAAGCATCTATCTATTCTCTTATACTAGATTTTGCTCACGCCGTGCACGCACGGCGGTCTAACACTCCGTGTAAAACTACAGTAAAAATAGTTTTTGAGCTAATACAAATATTTTGAGCTATAAATGGTGATCTATTTGTTAATCGATATAAAACACACTGAAAAATTTTATTTCTAATTTTTCATCTTTTTTAGAATATATTTGCATCTATCTGTACATAGAAATGTAGATAGACATTGATGTAATCTAAAAAATAAATGGATTAGAATTAGAAAAAATATAAATATAAATATCTCTCGATGTATCTATATATATATATATATATAAAGAATTAACATTTATTAAAAATAGTAGCAAAAATTTAGGAAACATTTAATGCATACTATTTTTGGAAATTTTTTGAATATATGCATTAATTGCTTATATTTACACATCTATACTTATATTAAAAGCTATACAATTTATTCAATGTAGTATATAGAATAGTCAACCCTAATTAATAATTTGCTATTTTTATCAAGCATTTAATTAATGCATCTAATATTTTTGGTATGCAAATCAAATTAGCATTTAATTAGTTCCTAAAATATTAGTATGCAATACGTAAAAGAAGATTTTTTAATTTTTTTAAGTATAAAATATTACAACACGTAAAACTATTCCAGTTATTTTTTATTTTATTTTACATATAAAATCTAATCAATATTTAATGCATCCTACAAAAATTGGATGAAAATAAAAAAATACGTAAAATATTTACTAAAATAAAAAAAAAAGCTTTATCTATTATCTAATTTATTATCTAATTGTATGAAAATTTGTTCTGATTTTATGGTACGTACTACAAATTGTGCACTCGTGTTCACGAGCTACTTAACGGGTAAGCTCTGTGGAAATAATTCATTTAGTACTTCTATCCCGTGCATGCAATATGTATTTGTATTACACATACTAAAAAATTGTCCACCCCGTGCATCGCACGGACTATGTACTAATAAAGGACCTTAAAATTGTACACCCCGTGCATCACCCGTGTTCACATTTTGACCTATTACATGTCACATACTATATATATCCCGTACATTTTTCTTTATTCATTTATATGTATAATTATAAGACTTGATAAATGACTTTTGTGCACCCCGTGCATCGCACGGGATCTGTACTAATAAGAAGCAATCGAGACTATGGTAATTCTTTAGTTAATCAAATACCATAACGACCATATTTATGTCCATTGATCCCTTACATTTCTAATTCCTATGTTTTATGAGTTTCATTTGATTTTGCTCTAGTGTAGTAGTATCTAATCCATTTGCCTTCTTTTTTTTTTTCGTATTTGATATTTGCATACAATTATATTCATGTTAGTAACACAAAGAATATGGCACCTCATGTCAAACCTTGGAGACGTGTCCATTGAGCAGCTTCACGCATTTCCTTTAGTTCTGCTCGAAAATACAAAACATTAATATTAGAGTCCAACAAAAAGTACAAAACAAAAAAAGAAAAAAGTGTACCAACTGAATTATGTCGAGATACTTAAATTTATGTGGCCATATTAGCCGTTTAATATCTTCATATAATATCGTGTTTGGTCGCAAGCTTAATGCTCGATGTTTCAGAATCATTATTTACGCCTGGTGTTCAGTTAACTTTAATTAGAAAGTATGAAAAGCAGAAAGCCTGAAAAGCAAAATACCCAAATCTCAAGGCTCATTATCTATAAAAATTTAGTAAAAAACTGCTCTACATTGATTTGATTATTATTAAAGTAATAATAGCCTAGTATAGCATCTTTCTCCACACAAAATGATAAACCAAAATTCTGTAAGAAAAAATACAACCCTAAATATTACTAAAAATGAAAAAAAAAAAAAAAAAAGTAACTCCACCTCTGCAAATTCCGTACTCTAATACGCTACCTCACTCGATCCTCCTGTCGAGCTCGACAACAGGAGGATGCATCGCCGTTGGAATTAGGATCCCCAAAGGAATTGCACATGTTCTCCAACCGAAATCCCTCAAATTCGTCGGCGAGGCCTAATTCTCCGGCACCGACGTGCCAAATTTCTCCTCTACATCTCCACCAGCCGATTTCTCCACCGCCAAATTTACCATCAATTTGATATAGATAAATTCATCCAAACAATGAAAGCGAGTGGATTAGAAACACCTCTAGAGACATAACCAAAACTATTCCAAGGTACAAAATTCAGATTTCAAAACAGTGATTGTGAACATGTGTCCATGTTTAGATCAATCTCACTATTGCTCTGATTCTGGCCCACACTGCTAATCAGATACAAATCAAGCTTTCTAGGCTTCTTTTCTTTCAGCTTTGTTTCAGTTTGAGCTCCAACCTTTAAGATATCAAAATATTTATAATCATAGAGATGATTTTAACAAGAAAAATTCACCCATGCACAAATGATAAGAAGTGAACATAAATGTAATAATCACCTGGATAACAGCAACACCTCCAGATAGCTTTGCAATTCTTTCATTCAGCTTTTCCTTTTCATAATCTTGCTCTGCAACCTGCTCAAGAGATGATGCAACTGCTTAGGCCCCCGAGAAGAAAACACGGTCCCATATCCATGCATCAATGCAATTAAAAGCAAAGAGAAGCACCTCAATAAGGTTTCTTATTTGGGTAACACGTTTATTAACAGCTTCCTGAGTGCTGCAATCACCAACTATTGTTGTGGTGTCCTTCGTCAACACAACCTTGGCAGCATTACCCAAAACTTCTTTGTCTGCCTTGCCTAAAGTCCGCCCAATCTCATCTCTTATCACAGTTCCTGTATTCAGAAATTTCGATCAGAAACATAAGAAAACAACTCTTCAAACAGTATAGTACGAACGAATGCAATCATGACACAGACATAATAAGATGCTGCCACTTAACCCCGAAAGAATTCACGGCCAGTGAGAGAAAGAAGAATGAGCAAAAATTTACCTCCAGTCAAAGTTGCAATATCATCGAGATACTGGCTCTTCCTCTCACCAAATCCAGGAGCTTTGAGCGCAGTAACTTTCAATGTACCCCTCAGTTTGTTCACAACAGGGGACATGTAAGTTATTTGCCAGATCCTTTTTCCCAAATAGATGAAAAAAAAAAAAAAAAATTATCTTTGCTTTATAAATTATCCACAAAGCCCGCTTCGAATAAATAATTGAAAATTTTTCTACTCACTTCGAAACCAGTCTTTTTAAGAGCGTAGAGACACTGGTGAGTCAGTCTAATATCAGAAAAACCATTACCAAGTTTGATTTCAGCCTGCCAGCAAAGGGAATTATTTTAACATATCAAGCCAGATTATTGTGTGAAAACACAAATTCAAAAGTATGTTTTAAATTATGGCGATTACATTTATCTGCTGTTGTTCTTTGTTATTAGGGTCATTTGAATCGGTCATGCACCGTATTGGTCATGCACCACTCAGATGCAACAAAACATTGCCCGGTTTAAGTACCCTGTATATTTCCTTGTAGCACCTGACCTGTAGCAACATAAAAGATAGAGAAAGAATTTACAGTATAACTTGATTAAAAATAAATAAATAAAGTTGAACTATGTCAATAATGACATTCAAATTTGATTTGCATCCATTCATCCAGTAATAACCTAGCTCAAGTATAGCCCGTCTTGAAATTGATCACTGGTAACAGCAGTAAGAAACTCATTTTTCAAGATATTGACAATGCCTGAATGTGTAAAATGCGTATACTTTTTCTTCAACCACGTCTGCATTAGTGTTAAGTAATCACGGGGCTCAGCAGCAAAAAGAATACAAATAAAGAAAGGCAAGAAGCTTGAATTTATAGAATTCTACGTACTCTTTTAGAGCCCCTCTTTTTACAGCAGCACAAGGGTGAGGAACAACTTCAACTATGTTGGCATCAATTGTACTCAATGCCCTTCTGTTATTCCCAATACATTTTTGGCCTACTTGCAACAAACCCCCTAAAATTAGAAATAAAAATGTGAAATTTAATCAGACAACTTTTACATAACTAAGATTTTATGTTGTAACTCATAGGAAATAAATTCAGATTTGAACAAATGTAGAAATCTAAATGAAGAGGAGACATAAAAAGGGCTGAATTTAGAGTACCTTAAGTTTTTGAAGATCTGATCAAACCCGGAAAGTTCTCTTTTGACGCGGCCATCAGTAGTCTTCGAACAAGTCTTTCGAAAAAATTCCAAACATAAGACAAACAAATAATCAGATTCAAGGCGAAATCAAGACCACCAATATCAATACAAAAAAGTGTGGCTCCGCCACCACCAATTAAACACTGTTCAATCTGCGGACCACCAATATCAATACAAACCACAAATAAGAAAACTAAAATACTTTACAGCAAAAGCTCAAAGAATCCTTAAAAAAATCAAAACTCGTTTTGTAAAATTAGAATCGAGAAAAACCTCGGTGAATTGATTATCCTGACCTTTGGATTGTTGGGTAATATTCTTCTTTTCCAGTTCGCTTTCTTTGTCTCCGGTTGCCAAGGTTCGGCTGCTGACGGGTGGCAGCGTGTCCTCTATATCCATCAGCCCCTGACGCGAGCTGTTGTCCCGTACCCAGATCCAACAATTGGTACATTTTCAGTTCGTTTTTTCTTCAGTTCGAACCTAAATCTCCTTTTGCTCGACTCGACCTGCCATTGTTTTCTATGGAACTGGCGAAGATGGATTTCATCTTGGAAAGAACAGGGTTTTAGACATGAAGAGAAATTTGGTTTCATGTGAGAAGAAATCGTATTAGAAAATTTTGACGAATTTTGTTGCTTCTAAACTAAGCCACCGCCACACTTTTCCACCATTGCATTCAATTTGGTATTTGACCGACTTCATTGTTGCGTGTAACATCAAATCAAATGAACAGTTAGGGCGTCTCCAATGGTTAGCTATTTGGCTAACTATTATGACGTGGACAGGGGAAAAGTAAGAGAGAGAGTAGTCACTAGCTACTAACAAATAACTTATCTATTTCACGTAGCCTAAGATCATGTGAGAGGAGTACGTGGGTCTAATAGTGTAAAATAGTTATTTTTCTTATCTCTCACATCCACGTCAGCTAACTATATAGCTAGTAATAGCTATTACCATTGGAGATGCCCTTAGGATGTCAACCCTTCCAAGTAAAGCCAGAATTTTTTACTAAAAAAAAAATAAACAATAAATAAGTGAAAAAAAAAAGAAAAAAATGAGTGGACAAAAATAAAAATGGCGTATTGAATACGTTCTTTAACAAAATTATTTATAAACCGTATTACTTGAATACGGCTTCTATTAATTTTTTTGTAAAACGTATTCAACGAATACGTTTTAGTTAATTATCTTAATTAAGTAAATTTAATCAAAAGAAAAACGTATTTCTTAAATACGGTTTCCAAAATTTATTTTTTTTGAATTTTTTTAATTACCAAAACGTATTTACTAAATACGTTTTATATTTTTTTTTTGAATTTTTTAAAACATAAGAACGTATTTAAATACGTTTTAGATGTCGATTTATTTTTTTTTAATTATGAAAACGTATTTCATAAATAGGTTTTAAATTTTTTTTCATATTTTAAAATTTAATTTAAAAGAAAAACGTATTTTTTAAATACGTGTTTTAAAAAAAATGAAAAAAAAAAAAATTGTTAAAATCAAATTTTTACCCAAAAATCAAATATACCTGTTCGAGCAACTAATATCAATATATCCGCCCAATAATAATCCAACATACACTACAACGAAACAAATGAAAAAACACAATAATTTGTTAAACAAACAATATATACAAAACGATATAATTCAGTTTGTACATACAATCTAACATTTGAAAATAAAACACAAAATCCACGAATTCATCACAAGTAACTAATTAGGGGTGTATGGATTTGGAGGCATGCGCTGTCTGGACCCCCTCCCATGATATACAATTTGAGGTTGAGGTGTGACAAGTGTGTCAGCTTGAAAAGCTTGGTCACTGTCATCTGAGTAATTCAAGTGGGAAAAAAATCATAAATTGGACTGGAAAAAAAATAAAATTGTTAATTTAAAAATCTCACTTTGTTGAGGCTCAGGCTGTTGAGGTATATAGTAGTCCTGCGCGGACTGATGCTGAGGTGAGAAGGGCTGGGCCGGATGAGGTATGTAGTAGTCCTGGGCGGACAGCTGCTGAGGTGGGGACGACTGATGAGATAGGAAGGGCTGGGGCGACTGAGGTGGGAAGGGCTGGGTGGGCGGCTGAGCGTGTGGACGGACTTGAGATCTTCTACCCCCACCAATGTTGGGAGCGGGATGATGCCTGGCGGTGTGTGACTCTGTACTCATGGGGGGAATGTAGTCGTCCTGGGAGAAAACTTGACTGGACGACCCCCCATGTGGAACACCCAGGTCCCCAACAGTCATAGAGGAATAGGCATAGTTGTACGACTGTTGGAAGCTGGGTTGCGCTTCAGGAGGGATTTGATGCACATATGGCTGCATATCGGATAATCCGCCATAAATCCCGTATAGTGCAGAAGTCTGTAATTAAAATTCATAATAATTAGTATCAAACAGCAAAAAAATAATACTAATAATAATAATAATAATAATAATTAAAGAAAATTATAATAATAATAATAATAATAATAATAATAATAATAATAATAATAATAATAATAATAATAATAATAATAATAATAATAATAATAACCACAATTAATGAACACTTACCTGACAGCCTAACCGCTCGGCAAATCGCTGATAACCGCCCGCCTGTTGGAAGGCCGGGTAATTGACAGGGTTATTGATGAATCTACGAGTCCTGCAGTGAAACCATTCGAGGTAACCCTGCTCCGGCTGCAGATAGTCGTCCACAGGGACAATCGGGAGGAGATGATTGACTCTATCATCGGCCCACGAGCTCAAAAGAGGTCCATGGAATGTGGCCCAATCATAAAATGCCCTCTCAGTCATCCCCTGCCCTCTGTGGTGTGCGCCCCACTCTCGCTGATCCCGAATGATCGGATCTTGGGGGATGGATTGGCGACACCCAAATTGTCGGAGGACCCTATCAGGCAGGTGTACCTCCTGGGTGCTCCAACTGAAGATCCACCCCCGGTACGTCCAATATTCTCGATCGTCTGTGCACGCATCCGGGAGAGAACCATTGTTCAAGACGTTTTTATAGGGCTGCCAATCGAACTGTAATAAAAAAAAAATAACAATTGGATTAGTAATTAAGTTATTACAAAATTAAAAATAAAAAAAAAAAACAAAGATAAATCATAGAAAAATAAGAACGGTAAAAAGAAATAAACAATTGAATTAAAAACATTACCTCATCCTCTCTCAGCCCTGTAAACTGATCCCGGTAGGCGGCCAATGTAGTGGCTATGTTTGACTTAGATCTCGGTCCCACCCACCTTAAAAATTATAGGAAAAAAAAGTTTGTAATCATAAAATTTGATAATGAAAATAATGTACGTATTAAATAAAAATAAAAGTGATTACCTCCCTCCCAATGGACAATCAGGCACAGTACCAAACAAACTTTTCTTCACCCTTGGGCAAATACGAGGGATATGCTCCCATGCCCAAACCTACACAAATGGACATTAATTTTGTTATTAGGTATTAGTCGAAGTAAGAAAAATAAAATATTAAATTTTCAAATAATAATTAAATAAATTTACCTGAATCAATTGAACGCAGTTCTTCAACCATTTCTCTTTGGCCTTGTACGAGGTCGCCAACGCTCTGTATACTCCGGCCAAGAGCGCTGAACCCCAGCTGTACCGCCGAATACCATCGAAG